TTCCAAACGAGCAACGTTTTTGGGCATTTTTGGTAGGGCGCATGATCGATCTGGCAAGAATGCAAAACTTCAATAGATCGTAACTCAGTCAAATCTCGCTCAAATCCAACGATCCAAATATTCAGGTCGAATAGAAAACTCTCAGCTGTCGGTTGAAACAATTTGCGAAGCGCTGCGAGCAATGTATCGTGAGATAAATCATTTGTAAGTTGAGCCACGATCTCGGCAATTTCAAAAGCGCGCAGTGCGACTTGAGTATCGAGAATTTGAGATTGTCGTCGCGCTGATTCGCTCAAATTTGCAGGGGCTCCACTTGTGATATTTTCAAGAGTACACAGCAAAAAAATCGAAACTCTGCGATCAAGAAAAACGAAATCGCTGGAGCAGGACGCGTTTGGGCCTGTTTGGGGCATTTTTCGCACCGTCGCTGCACTCTACCGCTATAGCCTATAGGCTATAGCGCTGGATATGTACATGACTGTACTGTGTCCTGGCTATCATGGTCGACCTCATTCTGCCCCTGGTACCTTCCACTTCCAGGAAGCCCAAGATATGTATAACAAGTTATTTTCGGTGTAATTTTAATTTCGGTAATTTCGGTAGAGAATTCAGGCACCAAAATTTAGATTACACCTAAAAGGCACTAGAGTATGCACTGTATGCGAAGGGTAGGCTGGTCACCTAATTCTACATTGCACCTGAAACCTAGCGGGTCCCTGATACCGAAATTTAAATTCACCTAAAATTACATGATATACATGTACAGTAATGAAGATTGAGTGAATAGAACTGAAGTTATGATCCAAACAACACGAAAAAATGCATAATTTTGAAAAATTCCTAGGCCTATAGGGCTCTTTAGAAAGGGTTAAAACTTATTGTTTGGGATTCGGTTGGAAACCCCCCTAGCTGTGACCCTGCGTACGCGCCTGCATGGGGACATAAAACGCACCAAAAAAAGAAGAAAAATGAAAGGAGTGACAGGTACATGATACGAAATGTTAGGAGGAGAGACAGTACATTAGAAGGAGGGGAATGATAAGACAGACAGTGCTAGGAGGAGAAGGAGAGAAAAGAAGAACAGACGTTATTGGGAATAGTATGTGGAGCGGAATTTGGAAGTCATGGGGTGAGGCAGATATGATGCTGATGATCAGAGATGGTCATGTGCCCACGACCAGTCGTTGGTCTTCAAATAGCGGTTGGCTGCAACTTTGAAGTGTTGCAAGTTCTTGGTGCAGAAAGGACCAGAGAAGACTCCGGCGGGCAGCTGGTTCCAGACGGGGACAACTGCGTGAGGGTAGGCTCGACACAGGTTGTTTCGGGAACGGACTGGAAGTTCATTGGCCAGTTCGTGTGCGTGAGCATTACATCTCTGGAATGTACTACGGGTGGAGTGGACTGTTCGGTGTTGGGGCTGCTGGGGTGGCAGCATCCTCTGTAGAAGGGGATGCGCATCCGGACAATGCATCTTGTACAGGAGGCAAAGTGCTGCAACCATCCGACGAAGAGCAAGACTCGGCAGCCAACACATTGGGGCGATGGCACGGATGGCCCGGGCTTGCACACGGTCGAGTCTTGCAAGATGGGATGGGGCCGCTCCCATCCAGACAATAGGGCAGTACTCCATCACTGGGCGCACAAAAGCATTGTAGGCTTGGATGCGACCGGGCACGTCTAGGAGGTGGAAAGCCTTACGCAAAGCACCAAGTCGCTGTGTTGCCCGGAGGGCTACGGTACGAAGGTGGCGCAGGAAGGTAAGCTGACCATCGAAACTGATGCCCAAGATTTTGAGCTCCTCCTGTTCCGTCACATTTGATCCGTTGAAGTCAATCGGTGGCATGTCCCATTGAGTGCGGTGGAAACTGACGGTCAGTGCCTGGGATTTGGCTGGTTGCTGGTGTCGCTCTAAGAGGGGAGATACTGAAGCTAAACTGTAGAGACGTTGGGAGGAGAATGTTTGATCTTTGCGAAACAGGATTTTTAGAAGCAGACGCTGGTGTATTTCCAGAGTTTGAACAAGGGCCTGACACAGACCGCACCACGCTGTGTTCACAGTAATAAAATATAGGTAGAATATGCGAACGACGTAAAGAACAATTTTCGGCAATGGTCATTTAAAGGGGAAGTTAAGGCAAAAATTAAAATTTCACCAGTTGTAGTCTTCGGGGTGCTGAGTCGAATGGTCTTGGTCCGAGAAAGCTGAGACGCTCCCTTCCTACTTGAATCCCAATCGAACTCGCGCACTTTTTTATTATTATTATATATTTGAGGATTTCCCAAAGACGTAGTCTAAATTGAAGGGAGTTCCATTATAATGGGAGGCTGTAGGATTGAGATAGCAGACAGTGGAGGGCTAATAATTCGTTATGAACAGCCTAGCAAGAGAAATACAATTATGCTGAATGTTCCAGAATGGTCCTTTAATCAATGATACCTATAGCCTCGGGGTATGCCTTGAAATACGAAATGTACCGAAACAGAAACACAAAAATTAATAAGAATAAGCGCAACGCACAAAGAAGGAGGACAGAGGCATGTCAGTGCGGAGTGGCATTGTGTTTGGTGTCAGAGAAGTGCGTGCAAATGTGACAGTGAAACAGGGACTGCGAGGCTGTGGCTCTCAGGTCTGCGGGCAAGGCATTCCAGACAGTAGCGGTGCGGAAGAGAAATGACCTCCCGGCGTGTTTCCCAACCCGTGGCAGAGTGAATGTGAGTTGGCGGCGGCGACTACGCGTGGGGCAGTATCCCGCTGCTTCAAAAAGTTCTGGTTGGGTGGTGACCAAATGGAAGAATTCCATAAGGCAGGCGATCTTCCTGCGCCAGGATAGACTTGGCCACCCCAGCTGTTTAAACAATGATGACTTCGGCTCGTCTGATGGGCAAGGGCATCTCTCAAGCCGCATGACTGTGCGAGCTACTCTGGCTTGCAGCCGTTCAAGGGTGAGCCGCTGTGCAGCAGAGAGGGAGGACTCCCATACTGGGGCGGCGTATTCTGCTGTGGGGCGGACATACGTAAGGTACAGCTTCCTGACGATGTCTCCTGTTAAACGGTCAGCCATATGGCACAGAAGAACGCAGCGCTGTCTAAACTTGCTTATTGTCTGTTCAATATGCTCCTGGAAGCTAAGTGTTTCACTCAACAACACTCCCAGGTGACGGTGACTGGTTGACGGCTGGATACCGCGGATGGTCTCTGCAGCTCCTTCCTCAGCGAATGAGATAACAACGGTTTTCGATGGGTTGAAGGTTCCGCCTACTCGGTCGGCCCACTTCCACCGAAACTGGGTGACTGCGCCCTACTAGATGGGGATTTGTATGCAAAATGTCACTAAAAGCGCCATTTCGTTCTTATAAAAGCACGGATGATCGCGATTGGCCCAAATGTTGTAGTCTTTTGGACGCTGAGTCGACTGGTTTTGGTCCGAAAAGGCTGCGATGCAGCGTTCCTCCTTTATTCCCAATCGAACAAGGTTGAACAAGCGGTCACGTGCTCCTGGGTGCCCAAATCACCTGGTCACCACGCCAGCAGGTGACAACTTTCACACCAAGGTTCAACTCGAGTTCAACTCGAGTGACAGGACTGCACCCAAAAAAGGTCAAACAGGCTAGTAAGTAATTAGTTGTACCCTGCAGGCACGGTGACCAGGTGACTGGCGTACGCAGGAGCACGTGACCGCTTGTTCAACCATGTTCGATTGGGAATAAAGGAGGAACGCTGCATCGCAGCCTTTTCGGACCAAAACCAGTCGACTCGGCGTCCTAAAGACTACAACATATGGGCCAATCGCGGTCATCCGTGCTTTTATAAGAACGAAATGGCGCTTTTAGTGACATTTTGCATACAGATCCCCATCTAGTAGGGCGCAGTCACCTAGTTTCGGTGGAAGTGCGCGAGTTCGATTGGGATTCAAGTAGGAAGGGAGCGTCTCAGCTTCCTCGGACCACGACCATTCGACTCAGCACCCCGAAGACTACAACTGGTGAAATTTTAATTTTTGCCTTAACTTCCCCTTTAAGTGGTGGCAGTGAGGTTGCAACATGCCAAGGGAGGAGCTAGCTCGCTTGCATACTGACTGGACCTGTGGGGACCAGGACATATGGCTGTCGAATATAACACCAAGGTGTTTGTGTTCATGAACAATTTTAACGTTAGCATTGGCTCCTGGAAAGTGCAACGGCTGAGTGGGCGGCGATGGGCTGATGAACATTGCTTCGGTCTTCGCGATATTGGGCCTCAGCTTCCAAGCTTCCATCCATGCTATGGTGGAGGTAATGCCGGTCTGCATGGAGGTAACGAGGTTGGACGGCGAGCTGTCAGAGCACAACAGTGCAGTGTCATCAGCAAAAAAGGCTGACGTCTGGAACTAGAGAGGGCAGATCGTTCACATAAGTTTGGAAAAGGAGTGGACCCAGTATGGACCCCTAGGCCCTGTGCCTGTGGAACACCAGACACTACAGCCTTTTTTACATGTACAATGTACATAACAGAATTTTTTTATGGAAATGCGTGCACTGCCAACTATGCAGCATGCTCATTTGTCAAAACGCCATGCTAGAAGTATTTCCTTGCCTTTCATGTGTCGATCGAAAAAAGAAAGAAAAAATCGATCGTATCGCATATAGTGATGCATCGGTCATAGTGATAAAATCACGGAAATCAAAAGGGTACGCTATTATTGGTCGTCTACCTGGGTAGCCACTAGACTGATCTACGCTAGGTCACAAACCCACGAACACGCGGCCTTGACAGTCATAATGACCTGGTTACGTTGGTCGACAGTTAAAGGGAAACTGAACGCCAAAAATAAGTATGGCTTATCCGCAGGAGAATTGGGCACTGATTCCGATGAGCTATGTCTCGAGCCGATCAGAGAAGAGGAACTGTGTCAAATTTCATAAATAACACCTCCCATATTTGGAAATTGGCCTTGATGACGTGCGTACTGCTTAGCTGTCACCATGCTGTGCATGTTCAGCAGTGTAATTGAATGGAAGAAAACAATTACTTTGGTGTTTTGCAGCTCTGTTTCGTTCCCTGACGGTAACCAAATCTAGATGTAGGAATCTGTTGAGCAGGAGAGTGACACATGTCTTCCCGAAGGCTGTCCAGGCTGCAGTGGTGATGAAGAAGACACGATCATCACCCCGAGATCGATCGTAGCGAATTGGAAAACTCATGGTGAATTTGCTTCCACTCCAAGGCAATGTCGAGGTATGAAGGGTGCTTGTACTGCCTTCCAAAGTGAAGAGGAGATGAACATGGCTTTGCATAGCTGTTGTTCTATGCCAACTTACCTACTCTTGCTGGTACCGTAGTGGCATATTGCAAATTTCGTGGACGAACAACTCTAGTCACTAGTGGCTAGTGAGCAACACTAACAGGTGAGATTTTTCAATTCGACAAAAATTGTTTTTGTTTGAGAACTGACAGTGGCAGTCATTAGACTCAGTAGGTGTCTTTGCTGCTTCTTTCCCTTCATTGGTAGGGTTGTGCTTGAATAGTACAAGTGCTTGAAGTAAAATAAAATAAATAGAACATGTGGAACATAAATCTAATCAAGCATCAGTACATGTATTGCGAAGTTCAACTTCAAAGCACATGAAATCACAATGATCACGAAGTTTATGTAATCAGGAGTACACCCTGTGTTCAACGAACACATACACACATGCTGTATTGCGCACACATATGTACACATGTGCGTGCACCCCCACCCCATCCCACAGACACACGCATGCAGCGCACACATCCATACACATGTGCGTGTACCCCCCCCCCCCCCCACACACACACATTCCTACCCATACACATGTGCGTCCCCCCCCCCCCCCCCCACACACACACGTGTGCACATACCTCAGACCTGCCCATCGCGGAAGCGATGATAGCGAAAAGCTATGTTAGACATAGCAACAGATACACAAACACACACGCACGAACACACACACACACAAGATACGTGTAAGTGTACATGGTCTTCCTGGTGCAGATGCTGAGCCAGCACAATGGAAAATACCTCCATCAAGATGCTTGATCAAGTGTTGTGATAATGGCACTGTTTGTTTGTTTTTACAAAGAAGTGTGGGAAGGATTACAATGCATTGTAATTCATAATTGTTCTTTGCCTTGTACTGTGCAGACCAGAATGCTTCGCTATCAACTCCTGGCTTTCCATCGGCATGGTGTTCAGCTGCAGCGGCATCTGGTCCGGGGAGTTCAAGTTGCTGGATGGCTGCACTGACACAGGATGGGTTTGCGTTGGCAATGCGATACGGCAGTCATCCCACATCACGAGCTACATGTTTATGTAATTTATATTGTCGCTCGTCCAGCAACGTCAAGGCTCTGCATGTAAACACAGGAGAACACCATTCTACTACTCAGGGGATAATAATTTTGGATATCAATTTCGTGACAATTATTAGATTCACACAATATTCACAACGTATGCAACACGATGCTGTCTATTGACACTACTTCAAACTGAAGTGCTCACTACTCCTCTCCCGTTTTCATCTCCCTCTACCTTATGAATACTCTGCATTACTGGTTTCGTTTCTACCCTTTCCATTGCTGCCAGCTCCCAGTCTTTTTCAATGCACAGCACCACCTTGACAGTCATTTTTGTGATTTTGATGTACACATACTTTGAAGTTCAAATTCGAATTACATGATCAGATTTTTGTTCCACATTTTCTATTTATTTTTACTTCAAGCACAACCCTACCGATATGAAGGGAGAGAAGCAGCAAAGACACCTACTGAGTCTAATGACTGCCACTGTCAGTTCTCAAACAAAAACAATTTTTGTCGAATTGAAAAATCTCACCTGTTAGTGTTGCTCACTAGCCACTAGTGACTAGAGTTGTTCGTCCACGAAATTTGCAATATGCCACTACGGTACCAGCAAGAGTAGGTAAGTTGGCATAGAACAACAGCTATGCAAAGCCATGTTCATCTCCTCTTCACTTTGGAAGGCAGTACAAGCACCCTTCATACCTCGACATTGCCTTGGAGTGGAAGCAAATTCACCATGAGTTTTCCAATTCGCTACGATCGATCTCGGGGTGATGATCGTGTCTTCTTCATCACCACTGCAGCCTGGACAGCCTTCGGGAAGACATGTGTCACTCTCCTGCTCAACAGATTCCTACATCTAGATTTGGTTACCGTCAGGGAACGAAACAGAGCTGCAACACACCAAAGTAATTGTTTTCTTCCATTCAATTACACTGCTGAACATGCACAGCATGGTGACAGCTAAGCAGTACGCACGTCATCAAGGCCAATTTCCAAATATGGGAGGTGTTATTTATGAAATTTGACACAGTTCCTCTTCTCTGATCGGCTCGAGACATAGCTCATCGGAATCAGTGCCCAATTCTCCTTCGGATAAGCCATACTTATTTTTGGCGTTCAGTTTCCCTTTAAAGGGGAAGTTAAGGCAAAAATTAAAATTTCACCAGTTGTAGTCTTCGGGGTGCTGAGTCGAATGGTCTTGGTCCGAGGAAGCTGAGACGCTCCCTTCCTACTTGAATCCCAATCGAACTCGCGCACTTCCACCGAAACTGGGTGACTGCGCCCTACGAGATGGGGATTTGTATGCAAAATGTCACTAAAAGCGCCATTTCGTTCTTATAAAAGCACGGATGACCGCGATTGGCCCATATGTTGTAGTCTTTGGGACGCTGAGTCGACTGGTTTTGGTCCGAAAAGGCTGCGATGCGGCGTTCCTCCTTTATTCCCAATCGAACATGGTTGAAGAAGCGGTCACGTGCTCCTGCGTACGCCAGTCACCTGGTCACCGTGCCTGCAGGGTACAACTTACTAGCCTGTTTGACCTTTTTTGGGTGCAGTCCTGTCACTCGAGTTGAACCCGAGTTGAACCTTGGTGTGAAAGTTGTCACCTGCTGGCGTGGTGACCAGGTGATTTGGGCACCCAGGACCACGTGACCGCTTCTTCAACCATGTTCGATTGGGAATAAAGGAGGAACGCTGCATCGCAGCCTTTTCGGACCAAAACCAGTCGACTCAGCGTCCCAAAGACTACAACATATGGGCCAATCGCGGTCATCCGTGCTTTTATAAGAACGAAATGGCGCTTTTAGTGACATTTTGCATACAAATCCCCATCTCGTAGGGCGCAGTCACCCAGTTTCGGTGGAAGTGCGCGAGTTCGATTGGGATTCAAGTAGGAAGGGAGCGTCTCAGCTTCCTCGGACCAAGACCATTCGACTCAGCACCCCGAAGACTACAACTGGTGAAATTTTAATTTTTGCCTTAACTTCCCCTTTAACTCGTAACATTTTATCCTTCTCCTTTTTTACATTGTTGTCCCAGCGCGGGCTTGCGAATTAGATGGTTTAGAGGCAACGGTGAATGGCCAACGGTACGGTACTCAGATCAGAGCTTGTTCTGCTCCTCCATGAGCGACACTGACTCGCCCTGCTGTTCACGAGGTGTTTGTCGCGCTGGAAACGGAGCGTCTCTGTTAGTAACATTAGCTAGTATCCCTGGCAACAACCCTCAGCGTCTGCATTCACAAGTAAATTACTTAGTAAGACATTAGTAACTAGTTCACAACTCCAAGTGCAACACTGACTCACGCTGCTGCCTGGTGCTGGAAGCGGAGCGTGACTGTAAGTTAGTATCCCTGGTGATGTTTGTTACTGGAGAGCACTATAGTCTATAAGACATAGTGGTATTCTTCAGGCATAATCTTCCTCAGCCTACTCAAGCTCAACTGATGAGGGGTGAATTCCCTGAAACAGTGTGCATTGAGCAGGGAGTGGTGCTCTCTTGCAGGCTTGCCGAGTGGACGACCCAGCATTCTTCTTGTATCCTCCAGACGGCAGTCGTGAGTCAGTCAAGTGCCAGTCAGTCGGCAGGAAGGGCGAGCTGCAACGTTTGGAGCAGTCACCTTCTACAACTACCGCCGAAGTCGCAACATTTCAGTTCGTATGTCTTTCCTCACAAGTACGTACATACATGTAAGATCGGATGGACCAGAAACAGCTTCCTTGACAAAAAAAACAAAAACAAGCATGTTTGATAGTACAAAAATGTTCTAATGAGAAAGGCAAAATTAACGAAAACTTGTCGAAAAGTCAAAAGCTGGTTTGGTTTTTTTGGTACTGGGCTAAAATAAAATTAGACAAAGAGGTGTGAGGCTGACGAGTAGCGGATGATCACCACGCAATGTGCTATTCGAGACTGGGTGGAACGGGCCAAAGAAAAATGGCGAGAATGAATAAACAGCATGAGGAGGCGAGGAACAAAACAACACAAACGACAGTCTCCAACAAGCCGCGACACAACATGTCAAAGCAAAGATAAGCATGAACACAACGTGTCCCGACATACCCACGCACGCTTTTAAAAGCAGCAAAGGATAGCAGCAGCAGTGCGTGTAGTACATTAAATGAGTAAAAGGCAAGGTTGCAAAATTGCCAACATAAGTGTGCTCTACACATCCGAATCTCTGTCTTGTTCACAATCAGAAACATCACTACCTGCTGTAATGGCGGAGGCCTGACTGCTAGCATGACCACGACACCCAGCAGTACCTGTAGTAGTGCAAGTGGTGGATGTGACCCGAGCGACATAGTCACAGCATGATGGTGTTTATTCATCTGAGATGTCCATGGCAATAGCAGATGTTGCTTCGCCAGCAGGACCCTGCTCGTCATCTCCCGTGGTCATCGTTGCTGCTGCTGCTGTAGCTGCTGTACTTGTCGGTTGCGTTAGAAAACTACGTGCTGTAGCGCATTCCATTTGGTGCAGATACAGATCATGCACAAAATCTGAGCAGTACGGACAGCTGATCATGTCGGTACCCTTTGGATACACAGCTCCAGCATCAGCAGCACTAGTACTGGTTGGCATGTTACTACTAGTGGTGTCCATACGACCAGTAGACATAGGTTGTGTTCGGGCGCATGACAATGACGACGAGGAGGAGGATGAGGACGTGACAGTGGAAGACACGTGTGGTGCAGATGAACTACTGCTGCATGTGACAATATCGCTGTTGCTGCTCAATTTCGACCAAGCAGTGCGAGGAGGTGGTGTGCTTGACCAGCTGCTATCAAATCCAATAGCGGATGCACTGCCACACTCCGCAGCAATATTGCTAGTGATACCGCTGGTGCGTGTGCTACTCACGTCCCCAGCGTCTACTTCAACACTTGACATACTGGACAAGTGGGGTACCTGCTGCTGCAGTGCACCATGTGTAGCAGCAGTTGAATCTTGGTGAAAGTCACGCAGACTCATTTCCGTTGCTAGATTTAACTGCTCTTCTTCAGTCATAGCATTGATATTGGCAAAGGAGTCGTAGCCATCACTGAAGAGACCAGCACCTGTGCCCACACTGCCAACACTGCCAACATCAGTACTAGCAGCAGCTGCACTCTGCGTGAACTCTTCCAACGCTCCATCTGATGGCGTTGGTTTATTCAGACTTAGGTTGACGCTGGCTTGTGTTGGTGATCCACTATTCAATGGTGATACGGTTGGTGATGGTGTGCGTGCACCAAATAACTCTTCGCGTTCAGCTTCATGTTGTTTTAGCTTGGAGTCATTGGTCATTTGCAGTCGGTTTGCAACCTCTACCAAGTCTCGGGTTGTGTCAGCTGATGGGGGATCATGGCGAAGAGTAATATTGGCAGGGAACACAGGGTCACATGGACTAAATGAGGCTACATCCGCTGCTGACATCAACGGCGGTGGTAGTAGAGGAGGTGGTGCTGGTGGTGGAGCCTCTACTCCTTTCAGCTCCAAAGACCAGTGAGGCGTTGGCACAGAGACAGGTTGGCTCACTGGTGAAATATAGGAAATAGAAGATGCAAATGCACGCACACACATGCACACACACACACACACACACACACACACCACACACACACACACACACACACACACACACACACACACACACACACACACACACACACACACACGGGCAGACAAGAAATAACACCACATGCCAATATACCCAGAGACCAAGGCCACCAGTGACACCAGTATCACCACCGGGGAGGGGCTACAATGCACTATTCTTCAGATATTCCCAGTCGAACCCATCGTCACGTCTCGGAATTATACATGATGACGTACAAGTGAACCACCTAATGCACTATCAGCACAAACAACAAACTTAGGAAGTCATTCGGTTGGGGAACGCTGTACAGGAACAACACCATTCAACTCACGAGTCCAGAGGACGCCACATTCTGAAATGTTCATCAATGTAATGCTTTCCATTTCGTAGTTCGCACAACAATCTGTATTTAGGTTAAGGAAATGCTGTCATGGTGATGAACTAGCGGATTCCCTTATGGGCGTTAAGTATACAGCGTGAGTTGGCTGATTTGCTTATGGGAACTAAGGCCTCGTTTACACGACAATGATTGAAAAACGTTTTTCAATCGTTTTCCAAACGTTTTCGCTGTTTACACGAAAACGATAATCGTGTACACTGCAACACGTTTTTCGGCGCGCAATGGTCACATGCAATAAGTTGACCTGGCGTAGGCTGGCGGCGGCATGTTTTGAGTACAAGGCTCGTACTAGTAAAACGTTTTGCCGTTTACACGAGAACGAAACGGAACGAAAACGATTGAAAAACAAAAAGCCGTTTTTCGTTTGAAATGTTTTTGAAACGTTTTTCAGCGTTGTCGTGTAAACGCTCTTATCAAAATCTGTGGAAACGTATTCTTTTGAAAACGTTTTTGACAAAAACGTTTTTCAATCGTTGTCGTGTAAACGAGGCCTAAGTACAGGTCTGCCCTCGGTACTAGACCAATTCGGAGGTTTTAAACATTTTTTCTCTTAGAACGGGTTTTATCTATTATCAGGACTTGCATATTGTTCTGCTGTGTTATATCATTCATATCATATCCGCCTAAGAAATGATGTTTAATCATTGTAAGAATATTTTCTAGGGCTCAAACGGTTACTGTAAATCAACTAATTTTCGCTGGCGATTTAATTTCGCTGATTTCGCCGCTGGGTACCAACCGGCCAAAGTAAATTGCAGGCCAAAATTTGTCATAGAGGCAAATGATGCCTGCATGTGAGGGCAACAAATACATGTACCAATCGATTTCTTTTTTGAAAACCCCAATCGGCCAAAGTTAAATGACGGCCAAAAGTTTCATTTCGAGATCGGCCAAAGTTTCTCACCGGCCAAAATTTGTTGATTTACAGTAGTCCGATTAACCGGTTGCAGACCGGTAACGAAGAATTAACGGTTAACCGATAAAGATAACGGTTACGCAGTAACTTTTCAGTCAATTTTTCAAGTATCAGGTCGTTGCAAAGTATGCACTTTCGCAGGCTGTCGCACGCGTACGCAATTTCTGGGCTGTTAACTCGGTCATATCTGGTCTCTTCGTGTGAGAGTATGTATGAATGAGCATGCAATTATACATGTGTGCGTTGTACTGAATAGGGTACATTTTTTGATTAAGTATACAGTCCATTCAGAAAAAAATGAACTTCTAGCTTTTGGCCATAAATGGGTCAAACGTTGAGTTTTTTTAGAATTTTTTTCTGCAATCCCATATGGAATCCTCTTCCAATTATGTTTCTGAAGTTTTTTTGTCCAAAAAGCAAGCCATAGCAAGAATAGGATTTCGGCCAGGTTTTGCCCCAAAAGCACTGAATTGGGAAAAACCATCAAAATCCAGGCCGTTTGACCCCGCCTGCAACAGTGCATTCTGCGGTTCGAACCCCAGTTCAGGCACCCTTTTTGGACCCTTTTTCAAATTTCAAAGTTCGCAGCACTGCACTGTGTACGATGAAATCACGAAAAATCGCCAAATACGGGAGCTCGCCAGAGCCAGGACCCATCTTTTTATGAATGGACTGTAGTCAAATAGACGGTTAAAAAAGAGTCCGCAGGATTGCCGTGGCTTATAGGTTATAACCGTAAGGCTGTACTCACACTACTTGAAAAACCGCATACAAGTGACTTACGTGTGAATGTTGCCACGGTGACGGTTGCGAAAATGAAAAAAGCCCTTGAAAGCCGCTTGAAAGGTTTCAGCGGAAACGGAACCCTCTTCTACGAGGGTTTTTGCTTTCAAGCCGTTTGGAAAGCTGTGTGAGGTCAGGAGGCCGGAGTACTATTGTACGTTGAAAGGCTCCAGAATATTTTTCATGCTTTGTTTCCTCGTGGTCGTACTGCTCCTGTACATATACTTGTAGTTTCCTTTTTTTGCCTGTCATTTCTGAATTCTGTGGTGTTTTTTCCGAGTATTTTCCGTCTTCTTTCTTCCAGTAGCTTCCCGTTGTTTTGATTGCCGTTTCTGTCGCATTTCTTTTGTACCATTGCTTTTGTACCGACATCATGCCTCGCGTAGTGTTTTCTGACGACTTGGAGAAGAAGCTCATCGAGCTATGGAGAGAAACCTCTTCATCCGTCGACGATGTGCTACTTCTTCGCGAGGCATGGCGAATGAACTCCACGATCCAAGCAAGATATAACTGTTTCTATTTTTCTCATGAACTGAAAATTTCAAATAAGTTGATCGAGCCCAAAAAAATTGAAGGAACGCAGCCTCGGGATTTGCAAAACTACCACATGACAATCATGTTTCTCCATGGTAATTTGCTGACAAAAATGTTTCAAGTCGTCACTGGAGTGCAGTGTGCTTGGAAAGGCTTTTTCAAGTACTTTTGTCTAGTTTTGAACGCGACATTCGCGTCAAACTTTCAAGTAGTGTGAGTACAGCCTTAAACCGACCGTTAGCTTAGCAGTTAACCTTTGGGGGTAAAACCGTGACCGTTTGAGCCCTAATATTTTCCCCCAGACTCCTGTACAAGACAACCCGTTATAAGACAATTTTTTCCATCAAACCCCTATACAGGACAACATGAAACATCGATCGAGCTATCCATGGCAATTTGCTTCGTCTTGCAATGAGGAAATGGAACCTGTGGGACAGCTGAAGGTGACGTTATAACGAATTTTGTCCACAAATGAATTATCTCTTATCCGGATTTGCATTCGCCAAGGGATTCGGGATCGTTGTCTACTAATGAGGTTCTCTTGCAACCAATGTTGTACTAGTGAGGGTAGATGTGTTAACAGCGCGAGTCGGTGGTTTCGCCTCAGCTAGTGCATCGCTGTGCTGTGGCTTTTGCCAACGCATCTCAACTGATGATGTCATCACATAACCTCTATACTTGCACAGCATCTATTGCAGTGCATACAATGATGTCACAGGCTCAAAGTACAAACAAAGAGCATATGATCAGTCGGGGAAGTGAACTGCCTGAAAAGAGAAAAAACGCCAGACCCACCAGGACTCGAACCTGGGACCCTGCTTGTCATGAGCAATGCTCTAACCACTGAGCTATGAGACTAGGCTGAACCTAGAAGGCGCTGACAAGTTTTTCACTCCAAAGGCAGCTCACAACATGTGCCACACATACTGATGGCACTTGGGTCTTTTTCCCTCCCCCAGGGGACCAACCACGGTCAGTTTCTGGAAACTACCAGAGGTGAAAGAAAGTGATTAAATTTGGAAAGGATTGGGAGAACTTCAAATTCAAAGGATCAGTCGGGGAAGTGAACTGCCTGAAAAGAGAAAAAACGCCAGACCCACCAGGACTCGAACCTGGGACCCTGCTTGTCATGAGCAATGCTCTAACCACTGAGCTATGAGACCAGGCTGAACCTAGAAGGCGCTGACAAGTTTTTCACTCCAAAGGCAGCTCACAACACGTGCCACACATACTGATGGCACTTGGGTCTTTTTTACCCGACTGATCCTTTGAATTTGAAGTTCTCCCAATCCTTTCCAAATTTAATCACTTTCTTTCACCTCTGGTAGTTTCCAGAAACTGACCGTGGTTGGTCCCCTGGGGGAGGGAAAAAGACCCAAGTGCCATCAGTATGTGTGGCACGTGTTGTGAGCTGCCTTTGGAGTGAAAAACTTGTCAGCGCCTTCTAGGTTCAGCCTGGTCTCATAGCTCAGTGGTTAGAGCATTGCTCATGACAAGCAGGGTCCCAGGTTCGAGTCCTGGTGGGTCTGGCGTTTTTTCTCTTTTCAGGCAGTTCACTTCCCCGACTGATCCTTTGAATTTGAAGTTCTCCCAATCCTTTCCAAAGAGCATATGGAATTTATTTATGTCCCAGGACTAGGGTTGGCCCGATTCTGCGCGTTTTGTGGAAAAAATGAAATGCAAAATGCGGCCAAATCTTATCAAAATGCATATCGTCTTTTTTATGCTTTTCTAAAATTTTCTAAAAAATTCAATTTTTTTAGCCAAACCGCGCAAAAAATGCGTTCGTTACCATGACAACAAAGCTTCATTTCGCGTTAACGCGTTCCCTGCAAGTTTCGCGGCCAAAGTTGCGAAAGTTCTTGCGAAGTTTCTCACTTCGTGACGTAGAGCGAAAAACCCCAGGAAAACTGCCCTTTTCTGGGTCGAAACCGTGCAGAAACAGGCAAAATTCGAAAATGCAAAAGTGGGATAGATTTACCCCAAAATGCAAAAAAAATTGAAAACAGAATCTGGACATCCCTACCCAGGACCATACAAAGATACAGTACTGTCAGGCGCCGAAGAACGGAGTGCCGAAGAACGGAGTGCCGAAGAACGGAGTGCCGAAGAACGGAGTGCCGAAGAACGGAGTGCCGAAGAACGGAGTGCCGAAGAACGGAGTGCCGAAGAACGGCCAGGCTAGAATTTCATCAAGCACAGCATACCAATGTATACACGAGGACTCAACTGTCTATCGACTGTAGTACATAAAAATAAGAACGGACTAGGCTAGGAGGCTGACCCCGAATTGCATAATGTTGCATATTTTAAATTGCATGCTTTAAACTCGGATACTGAGCCAGTAACCATGGTAACATACTGAGCCAGTAACATACTGAGCCAGTAACATACTGAGCCAGTAAAATACTGAGCCAGTAACATACTGAGCCAGTAACATACTGAGCCAGTAACATACTGAGCCAGTAACATACTGAGCCAGTAACATACTGAGCCAGTAACATACTGAGCCAGTAACAAATTAATGTAAAAAAGAAAAGAAACACATGAGAACGAGTTATGCAGCAAATAGCATAATAACAATTGTTTTCAGACTAGAGTCAGTTTAGTGCAAACACATTAACACCAATTGCCTTTGCCTTTAATAGCCCTTCACAACACAGCATAATTATATGTCATGCGAAGGTGTAGTCAGAGCAGAGAACAAGTGCCCAGATCGGGACTTCTTAACATATCCCTTGACTTTACTTCTTGGAGGATAGACACATACTCCTTCTAAGAATGTGAGGCTGCATTTTGGCTGAGGATTATACACATCTCCTGCACAATGCTCACAACACACAGGATGTAAACTTCTTATCCTTGAGTGTAGTATTACGCAGAAAAAAGAACACCAAGACAATATCACCACAGCCCTTACCATGTTTGGAATAAACCAGCACATAGGCCTTATCCATGTCCTCCAATGTCGGTGTACGCTACAAACAGAAACATATCCACCCTGGTTTAATGTACACATGGGCAGATTAGTGTGTGCTGACTCGAACACACATGTTGGTCAGGAGAACACAAACCTAAAACTGACTGAAATGTACCACTCATCGACACTATCGAACTTTAAGACTCAGCTAACGCAAACCTTTCATCGCTGACAGCATGCAATCTCATCACAGTTCCTAGTGTTGGCAATGCAGGCAGGCATGCTACATCATACAGTAAGATCGGGCGCCGAAGAACACCTCGCCGAAGAACACCCAGGCTGGAAAACCGGCAAAATTTAAGAACAGTCCAGGCTAGAATTATCAGATTTAAGAACACTTTTAAAATTTTCATACATGTACTTACACGAAGTTGCGAATTTACACGTAGATCTACATTGTACATGTATGGGAGGTGAGTACATGTCATGTACACGTACGTGTAAACAGTAACTGCTACATGTACAGTCATTCCCATTTACGACACCCACTAGTTTAGAAGTACTACATAGTCATTGCACTACATGTACATGACAAACGTCATGACGTCACTCGACTCGCCGCGCGCGTGTGAATAAGAACGGTCTGGCTAGAATCAAAAATTTAAGAACTTTCCTAGGCTGCGCTCGAGCCCCTGCGTTCTTCAGCGCCCGATCTTACTGTAGTACATGTGCTGCATGCATGTACAATTAGTAGTGCATGAGTAGATGAGTTGTTACCTGAACAACATGGCGATCATTGTAGTAATACCACTGTAGATTGACTGGGTGACGGGCAAACGCTGTGTAGTGCCCTGCACGCAGCCCTAGCAACAGATAGTGTACATGTGCATACACCATCACGTGCATGTACACACACACGTACGCACATACACACACATACACACACAAACACACTTGTACTTGTACTTGTTGCTCACTGCCAAAACTGGTCACGTGGGTCTCCCCGGGAGAGGGGAGAGAGACTCAAAAGGAATCTTGGAAAGAGGACTCAATTGGCTATTGAACCGCCCAACGGCCGACACCCCCTGAAATCCCCAAAACTCTGGGTGGACTTGAAAATGATCCCACTTATGGGCTCACCACACCTCAGTAAGTGGGTGAGGACAAGATGCAGAAAAAGGACTGACGGCATCAGGGTATCCGTCCTGGGATCCAACTGCAGTTACCCCTGCCCCCAGTGAAGGTAATACTTGCTACTAGTGTGGGTGGCTAAATCAGAGTAGATCTAATATAAGCTTCACTAGCACCGTTGATTACACAAGAGTTAATCTAGCCAGTGCCAGTGCAGGCAGGCATAGTGGGATGGTCTAAGACCATGGATGAGAAACAGAGGGTACCAGGTTCAAGTCCTGCTTGGAAGCGGAAGGAATTTTTCCAGCTGTGCTGCGACCCACAGTTAATTGGGAACTCGTGGCCTGGCACGAGGGTAACATGGATGCAGCTAATGGGATTTCGGTCTTTGACCACTTGGTGGTGGGTCTGATCTACTCACCTCCCACCGTTTAGGCGCTGCATCTGCGCCTTTGATCCTAGAGGGTGGTGGCGTTCCCACAGCCGAGTCTCACGCGAACCGTGAAATTTATTTTTTATTTTTTATTTAATCTAGCCAGAAGCAGTCCATGGTTAACAGGTATGTATACTTCAAACAGAAAGTATATGAACCCTGGAACCAACAAAGGTGGCAGGTACAACATTACACCTTCAAGTAGCCGAGCCTGTTGGCAACAGACCCAACACAATCAGGCATAAGTGTACCCACCAACCGAACTAGCTGGCAGATACACAGCAGGGGCAACGTCGGAAGGTAATTTAGTGTGGTACGGTCAGCCATCTGAAGTACAATTTACTCGTGGGGGAGGGGTGGCTGAGCCGAAAATTTTGGGAATTTAGAGTCCAAATCAGTGCATTTTATTGATTCACAGGGTACTTGGGGCAAATAGTGGTACGGTCAATACCGTAGTGACCGTACCGTGTCCGACGCCCCTGCACACACACTCAGACTCAGACATGCCCATCACGGAAGCGATGATAGCGAACAGCTATGTTAGACATACTGTAAGACATGACTTATATATATAACGAGGAAGCAAATCTAACGTTTTAACGGATGACATTTCTTCGTTATAATAAGATCCGTTGAGGCCGTACTGCTTCATATATGCTGTGTGTGGATATGGCAGAATACTGCAGGATCGTTAACATATCTTCTCGTTAACCTATGAATTTTGGACAATCGTTAAATTTGCGACTCGTTATAATAACATGTCTTACAGTAGCAACTTGTGCTGGGATTGCACCATTCAACAGCTTGCAAGGCTGATGAATTGACCGCCACTAATTTAGCCTGGTATCTACCACACAGCTGATTGAAGGGACTTTTCTGGCCAGGGAATCCCTATTTTTCCTTTTTCCTTTTTTTCTTCTTCTTTTTTTTCTTTTCTTTTTTCACACACACACACACACACACACACACACACACACACACACACACACACACACACACACACACACACACACACACACACACACACACACACACACACACACACACACACACACACACACACACACACACACACACACACACACACACACACACACACACACACACACACACACACACACACACACACACACACACACACACACACACACACACACACACACACACACACACACACACACACACACACACACACACACACACACACACACACACACACACACACACACACACACACACACACACACACACACACACACACACACACACACACACACACACACACACACACACACACACACACACACACACACACACACACACACACACACACACACACACACACACACACACACACACACACACACACACACACACACACACACACACACACACACACACACACACACACACACACACACACACACACACACACACACACACACACACACACACACACACACACACACACACACACACACACACACACACACACACACACACACACACACACACACACACACACACACACACACACACACACACACACACACACACACACACACACACACACACACACACACACACACACACACACACACACACACACACACACACACACACACACACACACACACACACACACACACACACACACACACACACACACACACACACACACACACACACACACACACACACACACACACACACACACACACACACACACACACACACACACACACACACACACACACACACACACACACACACACACACACACACACACACACACACACACACACACACACACACACACACACACACACACACACACACACACACACACACACACACACACACACACACACACACACACACACACACACACACACACACACACACACACACACACACACACACACACACACACACACACACGTCCCGACATGGGCACAGCAGCAGTGCACTTTTTAAAGGATCTAACGAGGCACTTTCACTCAAACATTGTGACACGAAGTACGGCACTGGAAGAGCAAAAAGGTCGAATCTAACCAAAGCAGATGAATGTGCAAGACTCCACACACATCAGACACGTAAAAGAGCAAACATGAGAAATTCACTAATTAACTTACCTCCACTATGGCAAATGAATGCAGTAACATCGTAGACACACTCCTTAGCAGCAGCAGTTCTGTCAGTGTGGTCTTGCTTGACAGTAGAGCTCAGTGCCGGTGCAGCTGATACACCACTCATATCCATAGCCTTCCCATCCACACTCAATGCATCATCACCAGCAGTATAGCCATGTTCCTGGTGACCATGGTCACACTCATCATCTTCTTGGTACTTCTGCTGATTATCGTACTCACTGACCAGCTTGTCCTCATCGATACGGCTACACACATCAGTCATACCACACGTACCATCATCATCATCATCATCATCATCATCATCATCTCCACCAGTATCCATTTCAGCATCACTGCCTGTATCAGTGTACACAACATCGTCGTCTTCACTGCCTGCGTATAGAACACTGCTGAAGTCAACTTCTGTCAGGGCAAACCGTACCGCATTTTCCAATTTTTCACCGCCAAATGCCCCGTCACAAGTGAACCTAAGAAAAGGAGCAGAAGAACGAACATACATGTACCATTTCAAGTACGCTGTCTACCCTTACAAGTGACCAACATACATGTATGCTAGCAAACAGGGAGCAAAGCACTGAGACAGGCAGCTCTGTGAGTCCAGAATGGCAGTTTTCTCTGAAAGTTTGCTGGCCGTTCAACAACCTAGAAATCTGGACCCAGAATACGGTAAGCTGCAGATTGTAAGCCGGACCCAGAACACATGAAGGTGATTCTAACCCGGACAATACTATGTTCTTTACGTGATTGCTCTATGTTGTTTCAGGTGAAGCTGAGCCCCTCTATGAGTTTGGGGCGCTGAGTCGAATGGTGTTGGTCCCACGTCTCTGCAACAAAGCGTTCAAGAGATATTGTGATTTGAATGTGAATCTCGGGTGGCTGCACCATGACGTCATGTGGCCACGACACTACAGGATCTGAAAGTTTTAGATCCGGGACATGTTAACTGTTTTGTCATTTGTCAGGTGTGGGCTCATCGTCGTAGCACAAACGAGGCTGGACTATTCCATGAAAACTAAAATATTTCTTTCTCAAAGCAAGATTAACGTCGTGGAAGAGCGCACCTTCCCTTACTCCCATGTACATGTATATGACAAGTCCATGCAGCACATGTACCACATGACTAACGTAGCACGACAGTGCATGAATACAGTGCAAGTACGATTCCCTGTGATGAGTTTGTTAACATGCACACAGAGGACGGGAACAGTCCAACTCACAACAGGCTAAAAGCCAGGAAACCCGAAGATTTACAGAACTGAAAATCTCAGGGTACGTAGTGTTTGAAACACTGAGGCGAATGGTCTTGGTCTTAAGAAGCTGCGATAAACAGTTCCCCAATCAAAACGGGCTCCGAACATTGGCCATTTTGTACCCAAATAGATGGCGTGGTTACCTGGCTGCCCGCTGTAAAGTCATCATACCTGCATAAGGTAGACTGCGCGGTATAAACGGTCGATTGGGAATATCTGACGAACCACAGCCTCCTCGGACAAAGACCATTCAACTCAGCGCCCCAAACTCTACAGAGCCTGATAGTTTCAATCTCACTGGACTTCCCCGTTAACTGTTTTGCCCTCAACACAAGGCACTCTTTCCAGTCCGGAGATTCCACAACCTGCCGGTATACTGTAGATAACCCCGTAGTGGACAACTCCACATACCGCTATACCGCTATGCCGCTATGCCGCTATGCCGCTATGCCGCTATGCCGCTATACCGCTATGCCGCTATACCGCTATACCGCTATGCCGCTATACCGCTATGCCGCTATACCGCTATACCGCTATGCCGCTATACCGCTATACCGCTATACCGCTATGCAGGCTTGTCATGGCAAAACTCACATGCCTAGTCTATATTCACTGCGAGTACATGTATGTTTCGTACAACAGCGTTCAGTTTGTGTTCAGTCTGAATCCTCCGGAGATTTCGTCCACTTTCACGGAGTGATATTTCAACACTACATTGCTTATTGAAACAAGCTGCACGTGCACAGTAACACCACTACACCATGTCATGTGTGTTTGTCATGTGTTTGTCATGTGTGTTTGTCATGTGTTTGTCATGTGTGTTTGTCATGTGTGTTTGTCATGTGTGTTTGTCACGTGTGTTTGTCACGTGTGTTTGTCATGTGTGTTTATACTTGTCGGTGATGGGTCTCACAGCAAAGCCATGAAGAGTTGCAAACTCTCAGGCGAATATACCTTGGCTAGTAGTGGTAGTAGTCATATTAAATTTTAATACGTGTAAGTTTACAAGCTACCTGTAAATGTACTTCAAGAGATGGAAAGATTACCTCTTGAGCTGCAGAAGAAGAACCGGAGGTAAGCGAGAAACTGTGATGCTCTTCACAGCCTCTTGCTTACTCTCACAATGTGGGCAGTCAAACGGGTCCGAGCCACCCAGCTGCTCGCTGAAGCACACAACACAAAAGAACAAGACAAAACACTACTGAAATGACAAGCGACATCGCTTCCCGGATGGTGAGCCAATTAAATTATGGTGAAAAAGGAGAAGGACAAAATGTTACGAGTTATGACTCCCCCCCCGTGGAGCGTAGCTCGTGCTCTTCTTCGTGGCGCTTTCCTTCCCTTCTTGGACCTTTCCGAACCTGAGCCTTCCAAGTTGGAAGGTTGTTGGTTTTCGCTTTGCAGAAGTGTAGGAGCTAGGTGTCAGGTCGCCGAATGTCTCAGTACTCCTTGTCGGTTTTGCGCCATTTTGTCGCACTTGCTGACTGTATAAGATCTGGTTACGTTAGTGGATAGTTAGTCATAACTGGTAACATGTTGTCCTCCTTTTTTCAACATCGCTTCCGTTTGTGTTTCGTTAGTGCTTCTGCTATGGTCAGTAGCATGGGCAAATGGCAAGAAAGTCATTGGAAAGGTGGTCTGGTGGTCTAGCCACAGACTGGCCAGTGCATTACTGCACTACTGCCTACTGCCTACTCCTCCATAGAGACACTAGAGCACCTTAGACACCATACCACTGTGAACTCATGGTGCAGCATGTAATGCAAAACACTCTACTTGAGCATGCAGTTGTTTCAGTGCACGTGGCCATGCTTATCATCGACAAGACGACACAGCTGCAGTTTTCTGCCAAGACTGTTGCCATTCACACACTAGAGTGCTGTCATCCATAAACAGTATAAATATTAACAACAAATGAACAGTCCGCGTGAAACTCAGTCAGAAAGAAATATCCATATCCGTAGGCACCCCTTTCAGAATCATGCTAAGATAAATGTGCAGGTGCAGCTTCTAAAGCGGCGGGGAGGTGAGTCGATCAGATCAGGCCCTCAACACAGTTGTCCAAGACCGAAAATTAGTAAATTACATTCACTGCATCTATGTGACCCCCACGCCTCGCCACGAGTTCACATTGAACTATGGGTTGCAACTCGGATAGAAAATCCTTCCTTTTCCAAGCAAGCAACATGGTACGCTCTGTTTCTCAGTCATGATCTTAGACCAGTGCGTTATGCCTGCCTGCAGGACACTATACACTATATGCATCCAGGTAGGGGGACGTAGGGCACGGGTTTTAGGGCCACGAGGACGCAGGGGTACAGGGGTATAAGCCGTGATAACAATAAAGTTAAGAGACCTACATTTTGATGAAGTCTTCCAAGCACTGTGACAGGGGTATGAAATCATTGTCCCTATAATCCGCTATACTCGCATCATTCATGATCAGTTCCAGCTGGGTAAGCACAAGCACACAAACAAGGCAATACCAACAAACACTACGTTACGCGGATCAACATACTGTAAAGTGAGAAACTTTCGCTAGAGATTAAATTTCGCTATTTTCGCGACCATCACACATTCGCGAATATAAATCGCCGCAAACCTCTCCATACATTGATTGTAGACAGTACAAGGTCCGACTGAAGAGATAGAATCGCAAACGTTTCTCATCGTGAACCAGCCCGATTTATGAAAACGCTAAATTTGCACGCCGCGAAAGTTTGTCACTTTACAGTACTCCATGGCGTATCCTTCTTGCAGCATACATTCACACTCAAAGTCTCTCTCTCTCTCTCACTCTCTCTCTCTCTCAGTACTCCACCGACTACCACCGGTAGAAGTAGAACTTATTATGAAAAGCAGCGGCAGCATGAACACTAAAGAAGCTTACCCCATCAATACACTGTTGGTGTAGTGAGATATTGAAAGTGACAGCCAACACATCGGATGAGCGTAACTGTACAATACCAGTGCGTGGTACAACACATCCTGGACATGTGAACGGAGAGCAGTAGCTGCATTTCGATGTCTGAACACACACAACACACAGAAGCAAAGCAGCCATGAGCAAGTTTCAAACAAGGCACATCACGCGACACATCCTTACATAAACAATAGCTTTCCAGTGCAAACATGCCCTGAGGAATCACAGCTTGTCACCTGTCCAAGAAGACCACTACAACCAGGACCAAGGGATGTAACGTCCAGTCAAGTGACCCTGGACAAGGAGAGCACCTGTACAAGGGGACTACATTTGCAAGGTGTGTTGAGCGCTGGGCCGGGCCGCTGGCCTTACACTAGTTTCACAGTCACACTACACTAGTACATTTCCCCAGGTCGCAGTCACACTACACCAGTACATTTCCCCAGGTCGCAGTCACACTACACTAGTACATTTCCCCAGGCCGTAGTCACACTACACTAGTACATTTCCCCAGGTCGCAGTCACACTACACTAGTACATTTCCCCAGGCTGCAGTCACACTACACTAGTACATTTCCCCAGGTCGCAGTCACACTACACTAGTACATTTCCCCAGGCTGCAGTCACACTACACTAGTACATTTCCCCAGGCTGCAGTCACACTACACTAGTACATTTCCCCAGGTCGCAGTCACACTACACTAGTACATTTCCCCAGGTCGCAGTCACACTACACTAGTACATTTCCCCAGGTCGTAGTCACACTACACTAGTACATTTCCCCAGGTCGCAGTCACACTACACTAGTACATTTCCCCAGGTCGCAGTCACACTACACTAGTACATTTCCCCAGGTCGCAGTCACACTACACTGGTACATTTCCCCAGGTCGCAGTCACACTACACTAGTACATTTCCCCAGGTCGCAGTCACACTACACTAGTACATTTCCCCAGGTCGCAGTCACACTACACTAGTACATTTCCCCAGGTCGCAGTCACACTACACTAGTACATTTCCCCAGGTCGCAGTCACACTACACTAGTACATTTCCCCAGGCCGCAGTCACACTACACTAGTACATTTCCCCAGGTCGCAGTCACACTACACTAGTATATTTCCCCAGGCTGCAGTCACACTACACTAGTACATTTCCCCAGGCTGCAGTCACACTACACTAGTACATTTCCCCAGGTCTCAGTCACACTACACTAGTACATTTCCCCAGGCTGCAGTCAGACTACACTAGTACATTTCCCCAGGCCGTAGTCACACTACACTACTACATTTCCCCAGGTCGCAGTCACACTACACTAGTACATTTCCCCCGGCTGCAGTCACACTACACTAGTACATTTCCCCAGGCCGTAGTCACACTACACTAGTACATTTCCCCAGGTCGCAGTCACACTGCACTGGTACATTTCCCCAGTTCGCAGTCACACTACACTAGTACATTTCCCCAGGTCGCAGTCACACTACACTAGTACATTTCCCCAGGTCGCAGTCACACTACACTAGTACATTTCCCCAGGCCGTAGTCACACTACACTAGTACATTTCCCCAGGCTGCAGTCACACTACACTAGTACATTTCCCCAGGTCGCAGTCACACTACACTAGTACATTTCCCCAGGCCGTAGTCACACTACACTAGTACATTTCCCCAGGCCGTAGTCACACTACACTAGTACATTTCCCCAGGTCGCAGTCACACTACACTAGTACATTTCCCCAGGTCGTAGTCACACTACACTAGTACATTTCCCCAGGCTGCAGTCACACTACACTAGTACATTTCCCCAGGTCGCAGTCACACTACACTAGTACATTTCCCCAGGTCGCAGTCACACTACACTAGTACATTTCCCCAGGCTGCAGTCACACTACACTAGTATATTTCCCCAGGTCGCAGTCACACTACACTAGTACATTTCCCCAGGTCGCAGTCACACTACACTAGTACATTTCCCCAGGTCGCAGTCACACTGCACTAGTACATTTCCCCAGGTGGCAGTCACACTACACTAGTACATTTCCCCAGGCTGCAGTCACACTACACTACAGTCCGTTTCAAAAAGATTTACAATCCTGGCGATCGCCCGCGGAGTTTGGCGTCTTACCGTATGAGCACTCGAGCGCTGCTTGGAAAAACTCACTGTGAACTCGAAGAAATATTCCGCGCGAAAGCAGGAAAAATGACAACTCACTCACGTTGATACAGTCATGTACGTCTATCGTCTGGTTTACAACAAACGAGTTCTTCCTCGTATCGATAATGGAGTCAGAGAGGACATGTCGAAACGAAAGTGTTGTAAATATTGACGAGCGCGGCATGGGTCCCAATTCGTTTTGTGACCAAAATAGTTTCTTTGAGCTGCGATGCAATTTACTCACCGTGTGATGCAAAACGACATCGACACGGACTCATTCCCAAGGCCATGACTTGGCAAAGCTATCCGTGTGACTTCGACGACATTTTGAGAAAAGCAGACGCTTGTGAACGCTGATAGAAGACGGCGTTGACTGCTAAATTCAAATAAATTGGCGATCTTGAAATACTAGAATAAATCTCAAAAAGCTACAGCGCGATGATTTCCATTATTCACTCACACCATTGCAGTGTTGTGGGTGTGTTCACATGGCGTGAGCCAGTCAAGTGTCAGTCAGTTCGGCAGGAAGCGCGAGCTCCAACAACAACAACAAGTCGTTTGGTGCAGCCATCTTCTTTGTCTCGTACCAGCTTGATCACCAAAACAATGAAGAAAAAAGTTTGACTTGTTGACTTATTGAGGATAGGTTGGGATTTGAACTCACAACTTCATGGTCAGCAGACAGCATTCATAACCACAAGCGCAAAAAGGAAAGGATAAATCGTGGGTTTTGATAAAAAATCGATACTGGCTTCCTGGGCAAATTGTAAACCATGGGAAAAGGCCGGAAACCTGGCCGAAATTCTAACTCCTTAACTGCTGATCCAATTGTTCCGAAACCTTCACAGCACAATTTGCCGTGTCCTAACAAGCCATTCTATGTACTTTGTTGTCCAAATTTCTCTTATCTTCATACTTTTTAAGACCCAAACCTGATTGTAAATCTTTTTGAAACAGACTATAGTACATTTCCCCAGGCTGCAGTCACACTACACTAGTACATTTCCCCAGGCTGCAGTCACACTACACTAGTACATTTCCCCAGGTCGCAGTCACACTACACTAGTACATTTCCCCAGGTCGCAGTCACACTACACTAGTACATTTCCCCAGGTCGCAGTCACACTACACTAGTGCATTTCCCCAGGCTGCAGTCACACTACACTAGTACATTTCCCCAGGCCGTAGTCACACTACACTAGTACATTTCCCCAGGCTGCAGTCACACTACACCAGTACATTTCCCCAGGTCGCAGTCACACTACACTAGTACATTTCCCCAGGTCGCAGTCACACTACACTAGTACATTTCCCCAGGTCGCAGTCACACTACACTAGTACATTTCCCCAGGTCGCAGTCACACTACACTAGTACATTTCCCCAGGTCGCAGTCACACTACACTAGTACATTTCCCCAGGTCGCAATCACACTACACTAGTACATTTCCCCAGGCTGCAGTCACACTACACTTGTACATTTCCCCAGGCTGCAGTCACACTACACTAGTACATTTCCCCAGGCCGTAGTCACACTACACTAGTACATTTCCCCAGGTCGCAGTCACACTACACTAGTACATTTCCCCAGGTCGCAGTCACACTACACTAGTACATTTCCCCAGGTCGCAGTCACACTACACTAGTACATTTCCCCAGGCTGCAGTTACACTACACTAGTACATTTCCCCAGGTCGCAGTCACACTACACTAGTACATTTCCCCAGGCTGCAGTCACACTACACTAGTACATTTCCCCAGGCCGTAGTCACACTACACTAGTACATTTCCCCAGGCTGCAGTCACACTACACTAGTACATTTCCCCAGGTCGCAGTCACACTACACTAGTACATTTCCCCAGGCCGTAGTCACACTACACTAGTACATTTCCCCAGGTCGCAGTCACACTACACTAGTACATTTCCCCAGGCTGCAGTTACACTACACTAGTACATTTCCCCAGGCTGCAGTCACACTACACTAGTACATTTCCCCAGGCTGCAGTCACACTACACTAGTACATTTCCCCAGGCTGCAGTCACACTACACTAGTACATTTCCCCAGGCCGTAGTCACACTACACTAGTACATTTCCCCAGGTCGCAGTCACACTACACTAGTACATTTCCCCAGGCCGTAGTCACACTACACTAGTACATTTCCCCAGGTCGCAGTCACACTACACTAGTACATTTCCCCAGGTCGCAGTCACACTACACTAGTACATTTCCCCAGGCTGCAGTCACACTACACTAGTACATTTCCCCAGGCCGTAGTCACACTACACTAGTACATTTCCCCAGGCTGCAGTCACACTACACTAGTACATTTCCCCAGGTCGCAGTCACACTACACTAGTACATTTCCCCAGGCCGTAGTCACACTACACTAGTACATTTCCCCAGGCTGCAGTTACACTACACTAGTACATTTCCCCAGGCTGCAGTCACACTACACTAGTACATTTCCCCAGGTCGCAGTCACACTACACTAGTACATGTCCCCAGGCTGCAGTCACACTACACTAGTACATTTCCCCAGGCCGTAGTCACACTACACTAGTACATTTCCCCAGGCTGCAGTCACACTACACTAGTACATTTCCCCAGGTCGCAGTCACACTACACTAGTACATTTCCCCAGGCCGTAGTCACACTACACTAGTACATTTCCCCAGGTCGCAGTCACACTACACTAGTACATTTCCCCAGGCTGCAGTCACACTACACTAGTACATTTCCCCAGGCTGCAGTCACACTACACTAGTACATTTCCCCAGGCTGCAGTTACACTACACTAGTACATTTCCCCAGGCTGCAGTCACACTACACTAGTACATTTCCCCAGGCCGTAGTCACACTACACTAGTACATTTCCCCAGGCCGTAGTCACACTACACTAGTACATTTCCCCAGGCCGTAGTCACACTACACTAGTACATTTCCCCAGGTCGCAGTCACACTACACTAGTACATTTCCCCAGGTCGCAGTCACACTACACTAGTACATTTCCCCAGGCTGCAGTCACACTACACTAGTACATTTCCCCAGGTCGCAGTCACACTACACTAGTACATTTCCCCAGGCTGCAGTCACACTACACTAGTACATTTCCCCAGGCTGCAGTCACACTACACTAGTACATTTCCCCAGGCTGCAGTCACACTACACTAGTACATTTCCCCAGGCTGCAGTCACACTACACTAGTACATTTCCCCAGGCTGCAGTCACACTACACTACTACATTTCCCCAGGTCGCAGTCACACTACACTAGTACATTTCCCCAGGCCGTAGTCACACTACACTAGTACATTTCCCCAGGTCGCAGTCACACTACACTAGTACATTTCCCCAGGCTGCAGTCACACTACACTAGTACATTTCCCCAGGTCGCAGTCACACTACACTAGTACATTTCCCCAGGCCGTAGTCACACTACACTAGTACATTTCCCCAGGCCGCAGTCACACTACACTAGTACATTTCCCCAGGTCGCAGTCACACTACACTAGTACATTTCCCCAGGCCGTAGTCACACTACACTAGTACATTTCCCCAGGTCGCAGTCACACTACACTAGTACATTTCCCCAGGTCGCAGTCACACTACACTAGTACATTTCCCCAGGTCGCAGTCACACTACACTAGTACATTTCCCCAGGTCGCAGTCACACTACACTAGTACATTTCCCCAGGTCGCAGTCACACTGCACTAGTACATTTCCCCAGGCCGTAGTCACACTACACTAGTACATTTCCCCAGGCTGCAGTCACACTACACTAGTACATTTCCCCAGGTCGCAGTCACACTACACTAGTACATTTCCCCAGGTCGCAGTCACACTACACTAGTACATTTCCCCAGGTCGCAGTCACACTACACTAGTACATTTCCCCAGGTCGCAGTCACACTACACTAGTACATTTCCCCAGGTCGCAGTCACACTACAGTAGTACATTTCCCCAGGTCGCAGTCACACTACACTAGTACATTTCCCCAGGTCGCAGTCACACTACACTAGTATATTTCCCCAGGTCGCAGTCACACTACACTAGTACATTTCCCCAGGTCGCAGTCACACTACACTAGTACATTTCCCCAGGCTGCAGTCACACTACACTAGTACATTTCCCCAGGTCGCAGTCACACTACAGTAGTACATTTCCCCAGGTCGCAGTCACACTACACTAGTACATTTCCCCAGGTCGCAGTCACACGACACTAGTGCATTTCCCCAGGTCGCAGTCACACTACACTAGTACATTTCCCCAGGTCGCAGTCACACTACACTAGTATATTTCCCCAGGTCGCAGTCACACTACACTAGTGCATTTCCCCAGGTCGCAGTCACACTACACTAGTACATTTCCCCAGGTCGCAGTCACACTACACTAGTATATTTCCCCAGGTCGCAGTCACACTACACTAGTACATTTCCCCAGGTCGCAGTCACACTACAGTAGTACATTTCCCCAGGTCGCAGTCACACTACACTAGTACATTTCCCCAGGTCGCAGTCACACTACACTAGTACATTTCCCCAGGCCGTAGTCACACTACACTAGTACATTTCCCCAGGTCGCAGTCACACTACACTAGTACATTTCCCCAGGCTGCAGTCACACTACACTAGTACATTTCCCCAGGCTGCAGTCACACTACACTAGTACATTTCCCCAGGTCGCAGTCACACTACACTAGTACATTTCCCCAGGCTGCAGTCACACTACACTAGTACATTTCCCCAGGTCGCAGTCACACTACACTAGTACATTTCCCCAGGCTGCAGTTACACTACACTAGTACATTTCCCCAGGCTGCAGTCACACTACACTAGTACATTTCCCCAGGCCGTAGTCACACTACACTAGTACATTTCCCCAGGCTGCAGTCACACTACACTAGTACATTTCCCCAGGCTGCAGTTACACTACACTAGTACATTTCCCCAGGCTGCAGTCACACTACACTAGTACATTTCCCCAGGCCGTAGTCACACTACACTAGTACATTTCCCCAGGCCGTAGTCACACTACACTAGTACATTTCCCCAGGTCGCAGTCACACTACACTAGTACATTTCCCCAGGTCGCAGTCACACTACACTAGTACATTTCCCCAGGTCGCAGTCACACTACACTAGTACATTTCCCCAGGCTGCAGTCACACTACACTAGTACATTTCCCCAGGTCGCAGTCACACTACACTAGTACATTTCCCCAGGCTGCAGTCACACTACACTAGTACATTTCCCCAGGCTGCAGTCACACTACACTAGTGCATTTCCCCAGGTCGCAGTCACACTACACTAGTACATTTCCCCAGGTCGCAGTCACACTACACTAGTGCATTTCCCCAGGTCGCAGTCACACTACACTAGTACATTTCCCCAGGTCGCAGTCACACTACACTAGTATATTTCCCCAGGTCGCAGTCACACTACACTAGTACATTTCCCCAGGTCGCAGTCACACTACAGTAGTACATTTCCCCAGGTCGCAGTCACACTACACTAGTACATTTCCCCAGGCCGTAGTCACACTACACTAGTACATTTCCCCAGGCTGCAGTCACACTACACTAGTACATTTCCCCAGGCCGTAGTCACACTACACTAGTACATTTCCCCAGGCTGCAGTCACACTACACTAGTACATTTCCCCAGGCTGCAGTCACACTACAGTAGTACATTTCCCCAGGTCGCAGTCACACTACAGTAGTACATTTCCCCAGGTCGCAGTCACACTACACTAGTACATTTCCCCAGGCCGTAGTCACACTACACTAGTATATTTCCCCAGGCTGCAGTTACACTACACTAGTACATTTCCCCAGGCCGTAGTCACACTACACTAGTACATTTCCCCAGGTCGCAGTCACACTGCATGAGCTTCTGGATCACCAGCTGAAATGTTTTGCATGCGTTCAGCTGACTGTCTGGTCACACTGCATTCTAAAGTCAGGTGAATAGAGTCCAAGCGACAACAGATGTGGGTTTTGGGGGTGAAAGACGCTCAGTGGAAAAGGGAGAGAATTCATCCGCTGCCATAGAAAAAGCAGAACTTGTCCGCTTGTTTTTGGCTGAAAGGCTGAAAATTCCGCAGTGTGACAGCAGCCTAAGAGGTGTCACACTCAGTGACTCAGTGACCGACATGTGCATGTATTGTTTCAGGTAGCAGTAGCCATACAAAATAGCTGGAATAACAGAAAGAGTGGTGATAATTTTTTACTTACTATTGGGTCCACAACGGAGAGAACGAATTGACCAGACTGTATAGCATTCCTGGACTTCAAGGCAGCTGCACAAACAATACATGCACATTTTCAAGCACGCGTGCACACGCATACATCCACACGCACACAGTCACACGCACATACATACACACGCACACACGCACATACATACACACACACACGTGCACGCACACACGTGCACGCACACACGTGCACGCACACACGTGCACGCACACACATGCACACACACAAGTGCACACACACACACACACACACACACATGTGCACACACACACATGTAAACATACAAACGTACACACACACGCACTCTCTCACACACACACACACATGTGCACAACCCACACACACACATCCACGCAGACACACGGGGATGCATTTATATGGACATAGAACAACGAAAAGGTGGGCATCGAGTCACAGTCAAAGATTGTCACATCGCCTAGTACAAACCCGCCATGACCATCACCAGTAACCCAACACCAAAACTTCATTGCAGTCAATATGTTTGACCAGTATGAAATACGCTCATGGTCTTGGCCAAGTTCAATGTTTGTCCAGTCCGCCCAGGCTTCCACAAGGCACACAACATGTTCTGTATGGGCTATTTGTTGGGATACAATGAACTGCGCACTACACCGTTGTTATTCACATTTCACTCTGATGATGGAACAGGCCCAAAACATCTGCTACTTCAGTAGACAGTAGTTATTCGCAGTGAAAGAAGACACCATCTTTGGAGTTCAAGTGGAGAAGTGAAGAGTTCTACATGTGTTACGTGTAAGTGGCTGCGTTGAATTGTACGGACAATTAGAAAAGGCTACAATCAAGTCAACAATATCCCCCTGCACTAACATGAACCCTAACATGCGCAAAGGCTTGCCCAAAAGTCACATGTAGTCATGCATGCACGTGGACATTCAATCAAGATATCAGCAGTTAGGACTGCTCTTGTAGAAGCCAGTACCTGTTGAGAGAGACAGCGACGATCCAGAACAAGTTGTGGGCAAAGAGCAGGCATGATCCAGCCTGTCACGTACAATGCTATACAACTCAGCTGCATCACAATGGTTGGGTACATTGATCAGGAATAGGACACCTAAGAAGAACAGACACAATCACAAGAATGACAAGAATCACAAGAATCACCTACAAGCAGTAACACAGAATTCTACACAAGGCGCCAGTCCAATCAGAACGCCATATTCGGTTTCTTCGCCAACCAGTGCAAATCCGGTGCAATCTCAATACAATAGAGAAGTTAGTGAGACGTTTTCCTGATTTCCACTGCAATGTCAGCACCAAAATCTCATATTCCAACACAATCATAGTGCAGCTAAAGTTCGAATCCGTCCATATGCGAAACCTCTCTGATAGCATCTGCGCAGTATGCAGTACCCTCGTGTTCGTAGTCAAGCAGCAGTAGGAGTATCAGCATCAGCACCAGCGGCGACAGCAGCAGCAGCAGCAGCAGCAGCAGGCTCATTAAAAGTGAATCCGGAGTACATGTAAGTGCCATGCAGGCACACAACACTCATTGACCATTCATTGACAACTCATTGACCATTCACTGACCATTCACTGACAACTCACTGACAACTCACTGACAATGGCAGGCTAAAAGTGCAACAAACCTACGTACACTAAAATGACATAGTGCACGAGAGGTAGTGCTATAGCAGCTGCAGTCAGCATAGCCGCTATACTACACTAGTATTGAAAGCCGAAACACTGGTGTAGCAAATAGTGCCAAATACAGGCTACTTTAGTACTTACACGGCGATGAAAACTGGTTGAGAAGCATTTCATTCGGGTGTGTGCGATGACGGATAGCAACTGGTAGTTGAATGTTGAATGCTACAGGAGTCTTGTTCTGCCATCTTGGCACATAATCTTCGGCCATGTTAGCTGATGCTTGACAAACCTAGTACATTACACATACGTCATTGAACCACACACACACATGCACGCAAGCACGCGTGCGCCCACACGCAAGCACGCGTGCGCACACACACACACACACACACACACACACCTAACTTGGCCCACATGCGTGTGCAAACTGCAATGCAGGAACACGTGTACCCGCGCAGGATAGGAGAGTTGTATGTGTGTACGTCCTCACTCTATGAATCCGGAGGAAACAGTGAACACATGCGGCAAATTCGTAGTGCACAACTGTGGATATACAATGTAGATATGTACTTACATGTCACTCATAGATAAGTACACGTCTCTAATAATAATACATGCCGGAATGATGTGATGGGCATTACTGGGGTACAGGTACCAGGGTCCACCTTACTTCGTTTTTCCTACCCGTTTGTCATCTTTGTGTCTTTCTACACTGTTTCTTACCATGGTTGGATGTATTTACAGCCTTACACTTACAGTATCATTATCACGATTTGTTTGCCACCCACGTAAGGCAATCAATCTTTCCAGAAACAATAAATGTACAGGTCTCCAATACCAATACAGTCTCCTATAGTAGTACAGGTCTGACCACCTTTGAAAAAATAAAAGTACTGTACATTTATTGGGGAAAATACGGTACGCAAGTCAAAGA